GCCCTGCCGGCTCACGCTGAGCTTCTCATCTATGAACACCCCAAAGTGCTTCTCTTCAGGGCTACTCTCAACCCACTCTGTGCCCAGTTCGTATTTGTGCCTGGGATTGGCCCAAACCAGGTGCCGTGTGCCGGCGAGGCCTGACTGATGAGTTTGTGAGACTTGGGTACGGAATCCAGAGACCAAAAATACAGCAACATGGAGACAGAACTTACTGCCCCCAGTTTTATAACTCATCACCCAGGAAATGACATTTGTTCAGGGAAGCCTCTGAGTTAAGTTTGTCAGCAAACTTCTGAATGGGATCTCCTGCGTGAGCTCAAGTTCAGAGTCCGCCCTCGTTCTGCAGAATCACTGAGCAGGTATTACCAAAGAGAACAGCCCCCTCTCCAAAGCCTCATCACTTCCCAATCCACTAGAAGGGTCCAAGCTTCTCTTAGTAATCTAAGTCTTGCTTATTAGGCCTGTATTATCACTGCAAGATAACAGAAAAATACTTCTGGACTAGAAATTCAACCATTTCCAAGTAAAAAGAAACTCAATAATCAAATGGAGCTCTTTAAGAGTTTTAAATGTCAACCCCGAACAACTTCTCCTTGCACTTTTCTTTACCTTTGCCCACCAGCTGGACAGCACGAAGTACGTGTTCACATTCTCTTCACCAAACTGCTCTGCTACATACAGACCCAGAGAACCATACTTATCATAAATATTTCGCTTTGTGGCATCGGTCAATATTGCGTGTGCGTTATTGATCTCTTTAAATTTTTCTGCTGCCTCTGGATTATCAGGGTTTTTATCAGGATGGTATTTTAATGCCAGTTTCCTGCAGAAAGAAAAAAAAGAGATCATTATAGATCAAAATCTGGGATTTGGGTGCCTGGTTTTTTGATTTATTTTTTTTTAAATTCCCTAGTCCGTCCCTCAGGAGAGACTTTCAAGTTCCAGTTGGTTTCCTTCATCTGTGATTCAACTTCCCTGATGATTCTTCCTTAGATGATAACAAAAGGCAACTGCAGCGTCTAGCTTAGGTCACAGGATTGACTTCACACCGCTGGGTTTGGCCCTCAGAAATCCAATGAGAAGAAAAAAAAACAGAAAAAAAAGAAAAAAAAACGAAAAAGACATTGAAGAGAAGCAGTACTCTTTTTTTTTTTTTTTACCCCTCAGCTCCAGCAATTTCCACCTCCTGCTAAAGCAAAGACCAACCTAACAGAAAAAAAAGACACACCACAAGGCTAAGATACGGTACCAAAGGCTAAATAAAAGCAAGTTGCCACGGCTAATCTGCAGTGTCTGAACACAAAAAAGGAACAGACAATCACTTGTGGTTAATTCACCAATTCCTGTGCAGGAACAAAGTATTTCTTCTCCGTTCAAGGCTTGCTAGAATGGAAAACACTTCAGAGTTTCAAGATACCAGCAAACCACAATGTACCTCCTCTAATTGTGCCAGATCTCTTAAAACTAAAGGACAGCAGTTTACACTCTCTGAACACAGCACCCCAAAAAAAATCGGATTAGGTGTTGATAAATTTGCTGGTTCTGATGTGGCCCAGGCTATTTATAGAAATCAGTAGAAACAACTGACCAAACACCTCCTTATAAACACAAAAAACGTGCTCCCGAGTTGAGAGCGATACAGAATTTTAGGCTAACAGATCTCCTGCACCAGAAAAAGGCACTTCTCCTCCTCCAGAAAATTAGCTGGGTCATTTCTCCACAGGAAAAACTGTTGCACTTCTTCCCCCAAGAGGGTAAAATTACCTTCCAGTTGCTAAAGCTTGAAGATGACCGATTCAGGCTTCCACTTATAGGCTTTAGGTAATTTTTGAGACTCTGTGGACCTAGTTTGTTCAAACTTCACCAAGTAGTTGCTTTCAGCATTAAAATGTAACTTTGGAAGGGAAAAAGTTTTGGCAAATGTCAAAAGACTGAAAGAAAACTTCGAAAAAAAAAAGGTACCCTCATGTAAAGAGGACTGCTGACCCCTAGTGTAACAAAAAATACATTGCCACTCCTGTAACAGGCTGTGAGACCGCAGCTCACGCTTAAAGTGAAGAAGTAATCACATTTTAACACATTTTGGGGGAATGTGGAAAGGGAGACTGTTACAGACTTTTGGTTGGCTTTATTTGGTCAGTAGGAAGCCAATTCATGCGTCTAATTCTTTAAAAAAGGAAACAAAGAAAAAATAATCTTCTAAATCAACAAAGCAAAAGGAACTTTTGACAGGTTTTTAGGAAAAAAAGGCACTGCTGATACTCAGTTTTCAGCCTTATTTGCATTTTTAAACCAGACCTCACACTGTGCCAGAACGACAGGGCAGCACCACACACCTCTGGGGCCCGGAAGCTGGACACAAAGCTACGCAACGTGAAGGATTTTAACTCCGATCACTCTTATCTCAAAACTCTGTTCAATAGATAAAGACCTTTCGGAACGATGTTGCATATTCAAGAACTTGACGTGCTAGAGGTAAAATGTAAAAATTTAACAGCACTTATATACACAGCCCAGGCGTGTTTCCACACCGATTTTTGCAAGAAGTACCCATGTCTTCACTTGGTTTTCTCATGTGTTTTTCTTGTAAAAGGTTTAAATGTACCAACTCAAGTCTACACATACACAGGCTGTCTGTTGAACACTAAATTAAAGCTATTTAGCCAGTGTAAACCTTAAACCTTTACCTGTATGATTTTTTGATGTCATCTGAAGTGGCATTCTTGTCCAACCCCAGCACATGGTACAAGGATTCTCCGGAGGTAGAGAGCGAACGTTGCCTCTGGTCTGCCATCGTGAGCTAACCCACAGAAAGAACCGGCCCCTGCAAAAAAAAAAAGTAACCAAAAAAAAGAGAAACACTTAAACAAAGAGGAACACAGACTTGATTAATCAAATCATCTGTAAAACAAGAGTCTGTGTGTGAAAATTCACCTTTTAAAAGGCTTGAATGTGCTTTGAAAAGAAAAGGCTCTTAACATACGTGGAAGATAAAACGTTCCAAACCCCAGTGAATTATCAATGAAAACAACTCCAGACACCCTAGAACTGCTACCGCATATACTCACTCGCTTTTCCAAACCCCCAAATCAACAGCTGAGGTACAGCTACAGATATTCACTACATAGCACACACCTAAAGCTACTTCACCTTCTTCCCTAGTCAGAAGATAATTTATTTGTGATAAGACCTGTAAAAAGAACTCGTGAGGCTGCTATCACTTTGAAGCTGCCTTTTAGCACCACGCTTGTGGGGAGCTCAAGTGATTTCATTCACATTTTCAATCACAGACGATCTGTTACACTAAAAAAAAAAGCCAAACCCCTGCGCACCTCCCCAGGCCCTGTGCTCCCATCCTGTCGCTGACAGTGGGTTGGACAGAATCCGTCAGAGAAAATCCAGGTTGACCTGGTCAATCCACACTGAAAGGGGGAGTGCCTGCACCCTCCTCGAGGAGGAGATCCCCCCTCTCATCATGTGAAATCGTGGATCAAACACCGGACCGTGTATTCTTGTTAAAATTCACGCTGCTCGAACGTGGATTAACCTCCTGCCATCCCTCAGCTGCAGAACCACAGCAAGGATGAGCATCCCCGAGAAGACTATTGGCTATTTTTGGATTATGTCATTACAGTTAGCCTACATCAGATTAGGTAGCCTTTGAAAGAAAAAGATATTTAAAGCACCAGACTCGCCTAATTTAACCCTTTCTCTTGCATAACAAAGTTAATAGCTTCAGCTTTTAAAAGGCCACCTGAAAGAGAGACTCTCAGGCACCGCCTGGGCCTTGGTGTGACATCACAGCGCCGACCCGCTCCAGTTCTGTTCGTGCCGACACAAGGGAATCCCAACGCCCGTGCGGGTGTGACAGGGTGGCGAGGGCGTGGAGAGAGACCTTACAACTTTCTTGTTCATCTCTGAGCCCGCTGGTAACTACTCGTCTGCTTCGGTCTCTCCCACATTAGTTTAACCCTGGGTGCTGCGTCCAGTTTCCTTGACTGGAATATATCGGCCAAACTTAGGAAACTCTCAGCTCATTTCCTTCAAATCAGCACTGGCAGCTCGGGTAAGTTTAATTAAAGGCTACCTAATAAGGAAGCTATAAATTATTAGTAGCAATAATAAAAGATCTAAACCATAACGCTTTAGTTAAGAATTCAAAATACACCCGAGGTACAGAAGGTGAATATATGGACAGGGAGAGAAAAATTTGTTCTTTTAAAGGATACTTTTCAGCTACCAAAAGTTTTCTGTGCAAGAGGAAACTGTTGTGTGCTGCAAGACACAAGTAAAACTGATTCATTCATTTGGGCACAATCTGATAGGGTGAAATAAATAAATAAATATGTCAAGAAAGAAATCCCACATGGAGGAACACATCCTGCCGGGAAAACCTTCTCCCAGCCCCTCCCCAAGCCCCGAGTCCCGGCGC